GGTCCACACGACTCAAAGAACACGTTACAACCAAAACAAAGCAGCTTAATGAGCGTCTTTGGCACAGCAGCACACAGAATACAGCCGAGGCCGGTTTCAGGATATGCCAAGTCCATGTTTATTATTAGTTGACAGTCTGGGTTAGTTGTCGGATACAGAACAGCACAATGCAACAAGCAGGTACAACATCAGCACACCTCAGTGCTGCAGAACCTCCTGCTGCGATTACATGGTCGACGACCCGCTGGCGGCGCCATCGCAGCTCCCGGTAGCACTGCTGCTGCTGTTGTTGTCGTTGTTAGCGGTTTGGTTATTATTTATACCTAAAGTTTTTTTTGTCTTTTTTTTATTGTTTTGTTTTACCAGTTTTTTTATGATGTGGTTTTTTGTAATTTACTTTATTTCTCCCCGACGTGTTTGTATGTATAAAAGAAGGCTGCGACGGACAGACGGACAGACAAACAGACAGACGGGCGGCTGTACAAACAGTCAGCATCAGTGTAGAGGAGCAGCGTCGAGGCCTGGAGACGGTCGACAAGGCAACAAGTTAAGACCATTAAAGACGTGAAAATGAACAGAGATTATTACTGCTGCGGCTTCGGAACACAAAAACAAACGTTCATTCTTGTTTACAGCTTTCCTTTTTCGACACCATGAAAAGTAACCCAAAACCTTATTAGATGTATCCAGGGCGACTAAAGAAACGAGCAAAAATGGTCCAAAATGACACAAAATCTTGATCCAGAAGCACCAAAACATCGTCCTAAAAAAAGCTAAAAGTACTTAAAGAAGGAATGACTGAAAAACTTGTCTAAAAATGACCAAATGCTTTTTTAAAAAAAAGATAAAAATGACTTAGAAACTGTCCAAAACGACTTTAAATTTGTGCAGAATGGCTGCAAACGTGTCCAGAATGACTTAAAAATGGTCCCAAATGACTCAGAACGAGAAATCAAGTCACGTCTTTCTCAGATTTTGCCATTTGTATTTTTTTTTTTCTCACTAAATCCCATGAAAATAACACAAACCAGCTCTGGTCTGTTGTGACACCTCTCCACGATTAATCCTTTAGTTTTGGTAGCAGGAGGAACAAACACGACAACTTTGATCCGGCCCAACCCACCGGTCAGATCTGACTTGTATATTTCTAGCGCTGCAGCTTGGTATCGTTCTGCTCTGGTTTCTGGGTTGTCGTGGGGGAAGCTCAGCCCGGGATGCAGCAGCGGTACCACTCCAAACACCGGAAGGCCAGAATTAAAACCAACCTTGGACAAAACTTTTCAGCTTGTAGGTTGCTGCTTGGAGGCGGCTGTTGTTCTGCTGAAGGAGATCTGGGCACGTTTATACCTTTGAAGCACATCCTGAACGTTTTTTAGTTGCCCAAACATTAAAAGTCGTCGTCTTTGCGGCTGTATTCCTCGATAGCTCCAGTGGTGTTTTCAGATATGAATATGTACATCTGTTCCTATAATTTCAATATAAAACAACCAGGTTAGAATGACTTAATGTGCTGCAAACACCAGCTTTTTATGCAGTTTTAGAATTGGGCTGCGGGGAGATCGATTGGGCGACGATGATTTCAGTCCGCTGACATGTTCTCGGTTTGATTGCAGCACCAGATTTCAGTCTGCGGTGAGAGCCAGCTGGCCCGGAACTGTTGGAAAATCACATCCGCCAACCTGCTGTCACAAACACTCGACAACCAAAAGCTGAAAATAGAACCAACAGACGGCAGAAATTGCCGGTTTTGTGTCTTTTCATGGGATTTGTCGCCAATAAGAAGCCGAACATTGGAGGAACCGATGGCCTCTTGGGTCCCGTTCTGCTCCTCCGACGTTAAAACTCCGGGAAGCTTCCAGAGATCCTTCGGCGTTTATTGAGTTTGTTTTTTTACGAGCTGAGCAGCCGTCTGAAGGCAACGAAATAAATCATAAATGACGTCTGGTCTGTCCACTTTCACCTGCCCTGGCCAGGCGTATAAATGTTAACATTTATGACATAACTTCTTAATAATCATAATTATCATCTGCTGCGTCTCTAAGCGCTATAAAGGAAGGTGGGTGGGTGGAGGGGAGGGGCGGCGCTATGGTTCTAGTCTGTTCTAAACGTCTCGGGGCGACTAACAGGAAAACCTGACGGGAGGTGATGAAATCAAACAGGTCATAAAAAAAATTACAATTTGATCATCTCATATAAAAGAAGCAATGGAAATAATAAAAAATGACAATCTCAAGGTTCTATGTACATTCAGAGAACGTCAGGTTCTCTATTTCGGTCAGCTCCTCCTCTTCCTCCGTCCTCCGACTCCCTCCAGAGGGTTCGTGTTGCTACAGAGGACCGACCCTCCACGTCGCCGCCGCCGCCGGGCTTCGTGTGCATGTGTGTGTTCATGTTGTGTGTTTGTTTCTGCAGACGAAGCGTTGCGTTGGCTTCAAACAGTACAGTGACAAATGGCGACACCTTGTGGCCAAATCCAGGTACAGCAGGTAAACGGATGACATGGAGCTTTGATTCTGTTCTGAGAATAAGAAACAGCATCGACAGCAGCTTCAGTAGCAGTGTTTCTACAACGTTTTATCACCGTCGAAAAGCTCTGGGCTGTTGTATGGAACACGAGCTAGCAGTGGAGTCACAAGACAACGTAGCATCGCGCTAACAACATGAGGAAGTTATTGTTCGCAGCATTTAGCAGCTGGATGATCCAAACCTCAAGATGCCCAGATGTGTGTCTGCAGCTACCATCGACAGAAGAAGTTTAACAGTCGAAACGCTGCAGAAGGAAAACCGAGACGCCGATTGTTGTTTCCATCAACATGTATTCGTCTGCTGTGACGACGACTTCGCTCTACTGCAACTTCTTCCCCCGAAATTAAATTCAAGGTCAAGAGTTTGACATTTGAAGAGATTCAGATCGTTGCAGTTGATGCTCGACAGGCTTCCTGGAGTGTCGCCGGTGTTGCAGGAGCTCTGGGAGCAGAGCGTCGCCGCACGGCCGGATTACTACAAGTTTGTCAGGTTTTTGGTTTATACAGGCACAGTCTCCTTTGATTGCACCTTGTGTTGCATTAAAGAAAGGGCAAAAAAATTCCCAAGTTTCTAGAAACAGTTGGGTCGATGGAAACACTTCAGTAAACATGTAACCGACACCTGAGATCAGCTGTTTGTTGAGTTGTTTTATAGCAGGAAACATGGCCGACGGCAGCTGGCACAAAGACTTTCAGACTCTACTTCCTGATTGTTTTTTGTCTTAGCAGTTGGCAAACAACTGGTTTATTACAGCCATGTAGCCTGTAGCGCCACCTTCAGACGACACATTCTCATTCTCTCCAACACAGTTAATGGAAAAAAAGCCTATTTCTTCTGACATTTTAAACTTCACTTCATTTTTTTTAAATGAATGTATAGAAACACGACTACTGTTGAGCTACTTCTGCCTCGGAGGGACGATGAGCATCACGACCTGCACCGCAACTTAGAAAACACAAGCAAATGGAGAAGATATCGCCAATCTGACAACAGCAGGCTGCCCAAAGAGCTGCAGCGTTTCTCTATTTATTGTTCTCAAACTGACGAAGCAGTTTTCTTCATTTTCTTCACTCGTGTTTTGTTAAGTCGGCGTCACGTCCGGATCCAGCAGATTGACCTGCCGAGCAAACGGGAGCGCGATGGGAACTGAGTGTTTGTGAGGATGACTGACGGACAGAAAGAGGAAGAAGAGGAGGCTCAACTCTTAAGGCAACATTTCTCCCGTCGCTGCAGGACGGAGAGCTCGAACAATCGCACACAAACCAACAGTCACGCTGCAAACGACGCTAGACGTCAACGGAAAGGTTCGGAAAAAGAACGGCTCGAGGCCGACATGCATCCGACGCGTCAATAAATAGCAGAATCATTCCCGACGCATGCACACAACACAAATAAATAGCCTGGAAACAAGGAGTGCAGAAGAACTGTATAAAAATGATTTAAAAGTGTTAATGAAACTAAACGAGACTTAAATGCTTGTAGGCGACGAAACAATGCAGTCGAGACATTTTGGTCACGGGTGAAGGATGAATTTCCCTTTTTTCTTCCCCTCCTGAGCTGAGCTGCACCAGCCGGTCGGAAATCCTCCACCGGCTCCGAGTGGAACGTCTGTTCTCAGTTTTACTGCTTTTTATGTTTAAACTTGGTGAATGTGGTTGCAGCCGTCAAACACCAGTGAAGATGTTCAGGAATGTGTGAATCGGATACGAAGCAACATCGGTCAGAAAACGTAAAACACACTAATTATTACATCTTAAACATTATAAAGCCAAAGATGTGGACTTTTCTAGTGAAAGAGAAATAAAATGCTGCAGCAGCTGCACTCTGGTCAGTCACAGCTAGCAAGAGAGCTACGTTAGCTGAAGCTAATTTATGCTAGCTGAAGCTAATTTATGCTAGCTGAAGCTAATATTCACACTTCTTCTGTATCACTGCTGCCATCATATTAATTTCGATCATTTACAGAATTTATTTGCCTTTTCTCAAACCTCCACTGAGGATTATTTGACGCTCTGAACTCCAGCAGGTGTTAAATCCACGTTTCCTTTAAACATAAGAAATATTCTAAGCGCTACAAAAAAACTTTAGGAGACGATTTTCTTTTGCGAGCACTGAACCAGTCAGTTTCATTCTGTGATAGTTCAGATTTAGTCGATATTTTCCATCGTGCTGCTGCTGCTTTAAACTGTTGCTTAATTCTTGCCTGAGGCTAAAAGCTAACTAGCCTAGCTTAGCAGGATAGCGGCGGCTGCTAGCGGAGGCTGATTTTATGTGATTAAACTCCCTTTAAATCATACATTTGAATGCATCTGATTAAATATAAAGCTACTGAACAACCCTACGTGTCCAAATGAGTGAGGAAGTTGTCTATGAAGAATGTTTTTGGTGCTTTTGGTTATTAAAGTAAAGTTTTAGTTTGTTTTTTTCAACTGAAGTCAATGGTAATGATGTGTAAACAGCCTTGAGCAATAAAAAAAAAGAGATTTTCTAACAAGATCTTTCTGTTTGGCTGTTCCGATCAGAACCGGTGTTTTTCGGTGCAACCTGCAGTAACGTCCGGCTTGAAGTTGCGACGAGCTGGTGCAGCCGGCTGCTGTCCGTCCAACAGAAGGACCATCTGATCTCATGGGTTTGTGTGTGTGTGTGTGTCTTCAGTGTAAATGTGTGTAAACTGGAATAGAAAAGGCGAGACGTCCTGTAAACAGCTTCACTGCAGAAACCTGTGGAATGTACTGAGACCGGCAGTGAGTCAGGAGTGGTCTGTCCCTTTGTGTCGTGGTGTCGTGTGTGTCGTGTTGCGGTGGTGTGTTCGTGTCTAGCTGGGCCGGTTGAGGATGCTCGACATGGACGGGGCGATGGGGGGAGGCGGGACGGCGTTGACGGGGGAGGCGGGGCCGGAGCTCTCGTTGCCGTGGGGGACGGGCCCGCGGCCGCTGTACTGGCCGATGAAGGACCCGTCCTCGTTGAACTGGATGTCGACGCTGTCGCCGTACTCGGCCAGAGAGTCGTCGCTGCCCAGCTTGCTCTCGCCGCACAGAGACGGCTGACTGTCGGAGCGCTTCTCGTCGGCGTCGCTGCAGCAAAAGCAGAGAAACTGTCAGAAACTGAAAGAGTGGAACAAAGGAAGCAGGGCTGCAGGTTTATGTGCTGCAGAT